TCATCACGTGTTTAGTGGTTATTATATCAGTGAAGATCTACAGGTGGAGACAGACTCGCATCATGTTTCACTCCAATCTCCCTGTGATTCCTTATTATCCTCCACGTTACTCAGACACTTTGGGGACAGGGACTCTCCAACACGTGTACAACTACGAGGTGTGCAGGACGACTGACTCCAGAAAGAGTGACTGTAAGTTCGGCGGAGCAGGTAGTCAGAAAGTGCTGATGATGGACCCCAGTTCTACAGGGACGATGCAGCGGATGCAGAGTGAAAAGAGCATCCTGGATGAACCTGACTCTCCTCTAGAGGTTAGAAACTGTACATATCATAATAATTCCCCTTTTAATAACTTCACAATCATTGTATTGCATGCATTGCATTTACTTGGTTGCTCTCAGTAGTATCTCAAAAGAGAAAGTTAATCAAAGCCTGAGAGATTAAGTTATTTACCACATTTGTACTCAGCACCATGGACAGTGAGACTTAACGCTGACAACAGTAGAGTACCCATTTGCTGTTTTTTCGTTTCGCCTATGCTTCATACCTCCTATTCCTGAAGAATATTCTTCAAACACACTAATTTGATCATTTTTTGCTCAGATATGTGACAATATCACTTCAGGACATAATTATAAAACAACATATATTGGAAAATATCATTATGCCAAGTAAATGGCCAGGTTATTTTCTGATTTGACATTCTCTTGATCATCAGTGCAGTGGCGGCGCCAGGTTATGGCTGGGGTATGCTACAGCCATACCAAGAAATGGCTTAGCCCCACCAAGAAAAATTATGTTAAAGTAAGCAAAATAAAGTCCGCCAACTCGCGCGGAGTAAATTGCACAGACAGCAGTTAATAAGATTGATTTCAGTAGTCACTTGTCTGGAAATACCGAAGACTAGAAACGGTCTTGAAAACTTTTATCACGTAGTGATCGTCTTCTCAATAGAACATATTTGATCATGTCTTCTGGCCAATCAGAATCAAGATAACGGCGTAGTGTTATTGCAGGAAGTCCCGACGGAGAATCATTGTTGCTGTAGTATCCCTATACATCGATACAACATTACGTATTGATAAAATCAACACGTAATGAAATAAGACCCCACGGTTTGATGATTGATAGGTGTGTGGGCTGTCTTTCATGTTGACACTCAGAACAATGGGGGCTATCCACCCTTATCCACAATGTAAAGTCATTCACACAGCCTCTTCCCTCTTCTCTCTGTGAGGAGCAGCAGGTTCAGCTTTCAGAACAAAGTAATAAAGAACAAAAATGGCATTCATTTTTTTAAATATGTCGTGTAGTAATAGATTTATTTATTTTTCTTCTCAAGAGAGTACCAGAATGTGTATTTTATGTTAGTATTTCAAAAAATCTCCTGGGGGAGAATCCCCCCAGACCCCCCTGCAGGGGTTGCGTTGTCAGCATGTCAACTCTTTCACCTGCGGAGAAATTGCAGGATTGGCTCCAGGTCGCCCTATTTATTTACTACAAGACAAATGTGCCTTTTTATTTCATAGAGTTCAATTTGGATTGAGACAGGGAAATAATCTAAACCTCACGCGTGGCGTTTCACTGTCAAGGATAGCGTGTATGTAATTACATTGCAAATACTGACTTGAGCCCCACCACTGCGGGTTAGCCCTACCATAGATTACCCAACAAAAATACTCTGGAGCCGCCACTGCATCAGTGTAACTCCATTTGTTTCATATCACTTGTTGTAATTTGTATTTTCAACTCAGAGGGTCGCTATTGGCAAGCGTGTTGTGAATTAGAGATTATATTTTTCTGTCTGTCCTGCCCATTCGTACGGGAGTCATAACCGAAGAAAGACGGAGCAAACAGTCTGCGCTTATATGGAGCCCTGAGAGGATGTACATCTCTGGACGCTTTGTTTTTCCTACTGAAGTTGGAGTGTGGACGGTTTTTCTTGATTTCTACTTTGGCATTGACTGAATTGGGATGTATTTGTTTTAACGGTGCAGGAAACGATTACAGGCAGAACAATGAGACGGCAAGTACTGTTGTTTCTCTCGCTGCTATGCCTCAGCTACGTGATCGGGCAGGTCAGTTATTCCATCCCCGAAGAAATGTCGAAAGGCTCTGTTGTTGGTAATATCGCCCAGGATTTAGGTTTAGATCTTAAAAGGCTGAAATCAGGTAAAGCTCGTGTCCATACAGGAGGCAGCGTAGAATACATCGGGCTGAAGAAAGAAAGGGGAGTCCTTCTCATTCAGGAGAGAATAGACAGAGAGGCTTTGTGCGGAGAGACGACGCCTTGTGCTTTACATTTCCAGTTAATTCTGGAAAATCCAATGGAAATGTTTCGTGTAACAGTGGAGATCACCGACATAAATGATAATACCCCCAGTTTTACAAACGCAGAAAAACGATTTGAAATTAGCGAGTCTGCTGTCATAGGATCGAAATTTGTATTAGAAAAAGCAATTGATTCCGACATCGGGATGAATGGCTTACAGCGATACTCACTTACACCTACTGATAACTTTGTATTAAAACCTGGAATTCAGGCAGGGGGAAGTAAAAAGGTCGAGATGGTTTTACAGAAGCCTCTAGATAGAGAAAAGCAGGAACATATTTCACTTTTGTTAACCGCTATAGATGGAGGAGAGCCGCAGATGTCAGGGACAATGCAGATATTTGTAAATGTATTAGATGTGAATGACAACGCACCTACATTTGCTAAACCTCTGTATAGAGCAAAAATACTAGAAAATTCTCCCAAAGGCACCAGCGTAACGACTGTTAGTGCATCTGATAAAGACATCGGCTCAAACAGAGAAGTGTCATATTTGATATCTACTAGTGAACGCATTTTATCTGAACTATTTAAAATGGATTCACAAACAGGAGAAATTGTCCTAATCGGAAACATTGATTATGAAAAGGCGAAAATATATGAAATGGATGTTGAGGTTGTAGACAGCGGAGGACTCTCTGATTCCACTAAAGTTGTTGTAGATGTTATTGATATAAATGATAATAATCCCTTCATTACCATGCTTTCTAAATCAGAGACCGTATTGGAGGACTCACCTCCTAACACTGTTATAGCTATGTTAAGTGTAAATGATCCAGATTCAGAGAATAATGGAGAGGTAGAGTGTAATATAGATGCTAACATTCCCTTCAAAATACAATCTACATTAAATGGATTTTATACTTTAGTTACAGAGGTCGCTTTAGACAGAGAGATAGCTTCTCAGTATAATATCACAGTGACCTGCTCTGATGAGGGAGTGCCCTCCCTCTCCAGCAGCGTCACTCTCACCTTACAGATCTCTGATGTGAATGATAACGCTCCTGTCTTTGAGAGCAGCTCATATGAGGCCTACATTGTAGAAAACAACACACCAGGCCTCTCTGTATTCACAGTGAGAGCCAGAGACGCTGACTGGAACCAGAATGCCCGTGTTTCTTACATCCTGGAGGACTCCTCTGTTAACGGAGTGCCAGTCTCCTCATATGTGTCTGTTAGTGCTGATGGTGGAGTCATCCATGCAGTGCGCTCTTTTGACTACGAGCAGATCAAAGACTTCCACTTCCGGGTCAAAGCTCAGGATGGAGGCTCTCCTCCACTCAGTAGCAACGTGACTGTGAAAATACTGATCCAGGACCAGAACGACAACCCTCCTCAGGTCCTGTACCCAGTCCAGACTGGTGGCTCTCTGGTGGCTGAGATGGTGCCTCGTTCAGCAGATGTGGGCTATCTGGTCACTAAAGTGGTGGCTGTTGATGTGGACTCTGGACAGAATGCCTGGCTCTCCTATAAACTGCAGAAAGCCACAGACAGGGCGCTGTTTGAAGTGGGCTTACAGAATGGAGAAATAAGGACTATCCGCCAGGTGACTGATAAAGATGTTGTGAAACAAAGACTGTCTGTTATAGTGGAGGACAACGGGCAGCCCTCTCGTTCAGCTGCAGTCATTGTTAACGTGGTGGTGGCTGACAGCTTCCCGGAAGTGCTGTCTGAGTTCACTGACTTTACACAGGACAAGGAGTACAATGACAACCTGACTTTTTACTTGGTGCTGGCTCTGGCTGTAGTGTCCTTCCTCTTCATCACGTGTTTAGTGGTTATTATATCAGTGAAGATCTACAGGTGGAGACAGTCTCGCATCATGTGTCACTCCAATCTCCCTGTGATTCCTTATTATCCTCCACGTTACTCAGACACTTTGGGGACAGGGACTCTCCAACACGTGTACAACTACGAGGTGTGCAGGACGACTGACTCCAGAAAGAGTGACTGTAAGTTCGGTGGAGCCGGTAGTCAGAACGTGCTGATAATGGACCCCAGTTCTGCAGGGACGATGCAGCGGATACAGAGTGAAAAGAGCATCCTGGATGAACCAGACTCTCCTCTAGAGGTTAGTTATGTGGGGTTATTTCAGTTGTAAGCTCTTCACATGATTTATGTGGCTGAAACATTTGTTACCAGGCGCAATGCATCAGTAGTTTGCAATCAGAACCATGGACTGTGGCACTGGTCGCGCCCTGTGCTTTTTTTTAATATTTATTGTTGTGTGAATAATGTGCTTGCCAATATCTATCTTTATCTATCTGTCTATTTATCTACATCTATCATATTATGCAAACCATAACATTTAATGAATTATTATTTTATTTAATTTGTTACTTGGGATTTATATATATTTATAATGGAACTCTTTGTACATAAGTGAACATAATGCATTGATATTTCCTTTCCACTTCATCATAACGGTGTATGAATATGTTTTTTTAACCAATGTATGAAGTATGCCCCTCATTATATAGAATTGCATTTTTGAATCAACTATTTGATTTGTTATCTCTTCTTGTACATATCGAAATGGTTTGTGCTCGAGTCCAGTTTTTTTGTTTCGGGCTTATTCTGTAGTTCATCACTCTGTACTCTAAGGGCCGCTGTAGGCCAGTGTGTTGAGTTGTCATGACATATTTGTAAAGAAACCTCCCCATTACGGTGATATCACATAGAGAAGGACAGACACAGGGTTACAACGTCGGTGGACATTTAACCGAGAGTGGAGAAGCTCTTTTTACCGATGAAGACGAATATGGATTTACCCATTTTACTCTGTTTTTAGAACTGTGAAGAACCATAGATATCCTTCCATCGCGGAACATAACACGTTTTATTGCATTTTGAGAGGAAAATGTCGGGCAGAACAATGAGACTTCAAGTACTGTTGTTTTATTTGGTCTTTCGTCTCAGTTCAGTGCTCGGGCAGGTCAGCTACTCCATCCCCGAGGAAATGCCGAGTGGCTCTTTAGTCGGTGCTATTGCTCAGGATTTGGGATTAGATGTAAAACGACTGAAATCCGGTCAAGCTCGCGTTTTTACAGGAGACAGTGCGGGATACATCGAGCTGAACAAAGACCGAGGAGTCCTTATTATCAAAGACAGGATCAACAGAGAGACGACATGCAGACAGACTACGCCTTGTGCTTTGCATTTTCAGATAATTTTGGAGAACCCCATGGAGTTCTACAGTATCACAGTCGAGATTACAGACATAAATGATAATCCTCCCACCTTTGAAAAAAATGAAGTCAGTTTTAAAATCAGCGAATCTGCTGTAATTGGATCAAAGTTTGTATTAGACAGAGCAATTGATCTTGATGTTGGCAAAAATGGTCTTCAGAAATACGAACTTAAGCCCGCCGATAATTTTGTACTAAAACGTGAAAGTCAAGCTGATGGAACAGAAAAAGTGGAAATGATTTTGCAGAAGCCCCTCGACAGAGAGAAGGACGAATTGATATCTTTAGTTTTAACAGCGTTCGATGGAGGAGACCCGCAAATGTCAGGAACAATTCGGATTTTGATAACGGTATTAGATGTCAATGATAATGCTCCTATTTTTACACAGTCCACCTACACTGCCACTGTTTTTGAAAACGCTCCTGTAGGGACAGTTGTCACCGGGGTTACTGCGTCAGATGCAGATCATGGGACGAATGGTAAAATAAGATATTCAATTGCAAACAGTTTACATCAAGCCCATTCATTGTTTCAGATCAACGAAGACAGTGGTGAAATTAGATTGACTGGAAATATTGATTTTGAAAATGCACGGAATTACCATATTAATATACGTGCAAGTGATGATGGTGGACTTACAGATTCGTGTAAAGTCATAGTTGAAGTGGTGGATATAAACGACAATAAACCAACAATTAATATAATGTCAAAATCAAACATGATATCTGAAAACTCAAAACCGAGCACAGTTGTAGCAATGATGAACGTCCAAGACCCAGATTCCAATGAAAACGGTAAAGTTAGCTGTTTTATCAACGATAATACCCCTCTGACTATAATGTTGACATCAAACAATTTCTATAGTTTAATGACAGATAGTGATCTGGATAGGGAGACAGCCTCTCAGTATAATATAACAGTGACCTGCTCAGATGAGGGAGTGCCCTCCCTCTCCAGCAGCATCACTCTCACCTTACAGATCTCTGATGTGAATGATAACGCGCCTGTCTTTGAGAGCAGCTCATATGAGGCCTACATTGTAGAAAACAACACACCAGGCCTCTCTGTATTCACAGTGAGAGCCAGAGACGCTGACTGGAACCAGAATGCCCGTGTTTCTTACATCCTGGAGGACTCCTCTGTTAACGGAGTGCCAGTCTCCTCATATGTGTCTGTTAGTGCTGATAGTGGAGTCATCCATGCAGTGCGCTCTTTTGACTACGAGCAGATCAAAGACTTCCACTTCCGGGTCAAAGCTCAGGACGGAGGCTCTCCTCCACTGAGTAGCAATGTGACTGTGAAAATACTGATCCAGGACCAGAACGACAACCCTCCTCAGGTCCTGTACCCAGTCCAGACTGGTGGCTCTCTGGTGGCTGAGATGGTGCCTCGTTCAGCAGATGTGGGCTATCTGGTCACTAAAGTGGTGGCTGTTGATGTGGACTCTGGACAGAATGCCTGGCTCTCCTATAAACTGCAGAAAGCCACAGACAGGGCGCTGTTTGAAGTGGGCTTACAGAATGGAGAAATAAGGACTATCCGCCAGGTGACTGATAAAGATGCTGTGAAACAAAGACTGACTGTTATAGTGGAGGACAACGGGCAGCCCTCTCGTTCAGCTACAGTCATTGTTAACGTGGTGGTGGCTGACAGCTTCCCGGAAGTGCTGTCTGAGTTCACTGACTTTACACAGGACAAAGAGTACAATGACAACCTGACTTTTTACTTAGTGCTGGCTCTGGCTGTAGTGTCCTTCCTCTTCATCACGTGTTTGGTGGTTATTATATCAGTGAAGATCTACAGGTGGAGACAGTCTCGCATCATGTTTCACTCCAATCTCCCTGTGATTCCTTATTATCCTCCACGTTACTCAGACACTTTGGGGACAGGGACTCTCCAACACGTGTACAACTACGAGGTGTGCAGGACGACTGACTCCAGAAAGAGTGACTGTAAGTTCGGCGGAGCCGGTAGTCAGAACGTGCTGATAATGGACCCCAGTTCTACAGGGACGATGCAGCGGATACAGAGTGAAAAGAGCATCCTGGATGAACCAGACTCTCCTTTAGAGGTTGGTAATTCAGGGTTATTTTAGTTACAATATTTTCACATGTTCTATGTCGATGAAACATTTGTTGTCAGACGCAATGCATCAGTATTTTTGCAATCAGCACCATGGACAGGGGAATTAATCGTACCCTGGCCTTTTTTCCTGTTTATTGTCGTGTGAATTTCCTTATTGCGTTTCCAATAGTGAGTCTTTTTGTCATCTATGTATGGGGGTTATTTAGAGCAGCGGTTCTCAAAATGTGGTCCGCGGACCACTGGTGGTCCGCGAGGGTACTGCAGGTGGTCAGTGGAAAAAGCTAAATAAAATCCACTTTTTATTATCAAGGATTTTCTGGGACCACCTCATATGTGACCTGCTCTATCGAAATCAGTCGCATTGACCCGAAGAGTGCGAGTGAGAGGTGCCTGTCATCTTCCCTTCACAAGCTTCAAAAATGTATTTATCGTGTGATTTTGGAAATACAAGTTTCATATTCTGAAAGCCAAGACTTTTTTTTATTTAAAATCTAGCAAAACACCCGAACCCCGAAAAACTATTTGTTTACGCAAATCCACGTTTATTTTTTAAATGATCCGTTGCGACTTCCGACTGATTATTTCCTTATTGTACACGTTTATATTAATGTATTTTATATTCAGTGTTCTCTGATTTTATGCTACAGGTCGGCTGTGATTTTATTAAGTTCCTTTGATATTGTAAACGTTGTGTTATGCGTCTCTTTCCTGCAATATCGGATGTTGAAAGAGCTGGAGCTGCAGTCCATGTTCGCTGATGCAGCTGTTGTGTTCTATGATATATGCTGCAGATTTGAATATATGGTCAAGGACCAAAAGAAAAAAATAAGTTGTCTGCCGTCCTCTTTGAGAAACATACACAACGCAGACAGACACCGGTCACACGTGCGACAAAAGTATCAGATAGGCTTCAATTGACTTTTGATTGTCTAAAATTAACTATGAAAACATATCGGCGTTTTAACACTACCTTTATATATGTACTTATTTTTACCGTTTGCATATGAGGTGGTCCGCGAAAATCCTTGATAATAAATAGTGGTCCGCATAAACAAAAAGTTTGAGAACCCCTGATTTAGAGGACTTTCAAGCTTATAAAAAATGTTTCAATTGATATAATCTAAACATAATCTGTTCGATAATTTAGTGACTTCTATATATTGCTTTTGTCTATTACGTATTGGTTTTAGTACACATATGTAGACGACAGAGAACTATCACTATAAATTATTTGTTTACACGCTACTTCTATGCGTTGCTATTCATGGTATTCATTACAATATTACAAGATATTACTACAAATTGTAGGGGTTCTTCTTAACACTTAATTTGCTAAATCTGCAATTAAACACTTATATTAAAGACTGGCCCACCTCCTAATGAGATTAGCTAAATACGTTTCTTCTGCTAGATCTACACGTGTCCTTTTAATAATACTAACACTATAATTCTAATGTAAATTGTACTTTTAATCACGTGTGATTTATTTGTTCCAACTCATCTACGTTACTCATTACGAACCCTTGCTGTTTGCTGCATTGAACAGAAAGGGCCGCTATTGGCCAGAGTGTGGCAGTCTTAGCTAGGGCTGGCAACTGTACCTCCCCCTTAGATTGTGACATGGTAGACAATAAAACGGGCACGAAGCGCCATGTCTTCGTTTCAATAAATAACTGCTCACGGACATGGAAAGCTGTAGCTTTGTTGATCACTTGTCTTGATATATGGTCGGGAATTCTAGCAGTATCCGTACGGATTACATTTTTTTTCTAAACAAGATTGGAATACAACGACAAAAAATGAGACGGCAAGTACTGTTGTTCATGTTGGTCCTCTCTCTCGCCCCTGTGTTTGGGCAGGTCAGCTACTCCATTCCTGAGGAAATGGAGAAAGGTTCATTAGTCTGTAATTTAGCTCAGGATTTAGGTTTAGAGTTTAAAAGACTCAAGTCAGGAAGAGCTCGTATTCATTCGGGAGACAGTGCAGAATATTTCGAGTTGAGCAGAGAGAGGGGTGTCCTCCTTATCAAAGAGAGAATGGACAGAGAAACACTGTGCGGAGAAACGACGCCCTGTGCTTTACATTTACAGATGATTTTAGAAAATCCGATGGAATTGTTTCGCATTACAATAGAAATCACAGATATAAACGATAATGCTCCCAGCTTTGCGTCGAGCGAGAAGCGTTTTGATATCAGCGAATCAGCCGTCATTGGGTCTAAATTTGTACTGGAGAAAGCCATCGATGCTGACATTGGTACAAATGATCTGCAAAGCTATTCGCTTAATCCAACAAACAACTTTGCTTTGAAAATAGAGGATCAAGCAGACGGAAGTAAAAAGGTAGAAATGGTTTTACAGAAGCCTCTAGATCGAGAGCACCAGGATCAGATATCACTGTTATTAACTGCACTAGATGGCGGACAGCCACGCATGTCAGGTACAATGCAGATAACTGTTAACGTGTTGGATGCAAATGACAATGCACCGGTTTTCACTAAGCCCATATACAAGGCAACAATAACCGAGAATTCCCCGAGAGGAACTAGTGTTATAACTGTTAGTGCATCTGACAAAGATGGAGGCTCTAATGGAGAAATAACATATGCAATTTCAAATAGCAAGCGTCGACTATCTGACCTATTTCAGATCAATGGAAAAACAGGTGATGTCGTCTTGATAGGTGAAATAGATTATGAAAAAGCAAAACTCTTTCAAATAGATATTGAGGTGATAGATAATGGAGGACTCTCTGACTCCAGTAAGATCCTAATTGATATCACTGATGTCAATGACAACAGTCCTCAGTTAAAAATACTATCAAAATCAGACACCATTTTAGAAGACTCCCCTGAGAATACTGTGATTGCTATGCTAAGTGTGAATGACCCTGACTCTGAGAGGAATGGAGAGGTCAAATGTAAAATTAATGACGACATCCCTTTTAAAATACAAAGTACAATGAATGGATTTTATAGTTTACTTACAGAGGTGGCTTTAGACAGAGAGATAGCTTCTCAGTATAATATAACAGTGACCTGCTCTGATGAGGGAGTGCCCTCCCTCTCCAGCAGCGTCACTCTCACCTTACAGATCTCTGATGTGAATGATAACGCGCCTGTCTTTGAGAGCAGCTCATATGAGGCCTACATTGTAGAAAACAACACACCAGACCTCTCTGTATTTACAGTGAGAGCCAGAGACTCTGACTGGAACCAGAATTCCCGTGTTTCTTACATCCTGGAGGACTCCTCTGTTAACGGAGTGCCAGTCTCCTCATACGTGTCAGTTAGTGCTGATAGTGGAGTCATCCATGCAGTGCGCTCTTTTGACTACGAGCAGATCAAAGACTTCCACTTCCGGGTCAAAGCTCAGGATGGAGGCTCTCCTCCACTGAGTAGCAATGTGACTGTGAAAATACTGATCCAGGACCAGAACGACAACCCTCCTCAGGTCCTGTACCCAGTCCCAGACTGGTGGCTCTCTGGTGGCTGAGATGGTGCCTCGTTCAGCAGATGTGGGCTATCTGGTCACTAAAGTGGTGGCTGTTGATGTGGACTCTGGACAGAATGCCTGGCTCTCCTATAAACTGCAGAAAGCCACAGACAGGGCGCTGTTTGAAGTGGGCTTACAGAATGGAGAAATAAGGACTATCCGCCAGGTGACTGATAAAGATGCTGTGAAACAAAGACTGTCTGTTATAGTGGAGGACAACGGGCAGCCCTCTCGTTCAGCTACAGTCATTGTTAACGTGGTGGTGGCTGACAGCTTCCCGGAAGTGCTGTCTGAGTTCACTGACTTTACACAGGACAAGGAGTACAATGACAACCTGACTTTTTACTTAGTGCTGGCTCTGGCTGTAGTGTCCTTCCTCTTCATCACGTGTTTAGTGGTTATTATATCAGTGAAGATCTACAGGTGGAGACAGTCTCGCATCATGTTTCACTCCAATCTCCCTGTGATTCCTTATTATCCTCCACGTTACTCAGACACTTTGGGGACAGGGACTCTCCAACACGTGTACAACTACGAGGTGTGCAGGACGACTGACTCCAGAAAGAGTGACTGTAAGTCCGGCGGAGTCGGTAGTCAGAACGTGCTGATAATGGACCCCAGTTCTACAGGGACGATGCAGCGGATACAGAGTGAAAAGAGCATCCTGGATGAACCAGACTCTCCTTTAGAGGTTAGGAAATAACAATTTGTATAATCAAAGTCATACTTGTATATAAGTTCACGATTCATCCATATCATGTACAGCCCATGCAATTTCAGCATGCCTTACAGCGAATTGTATTTCTCTCTTCTATATTTCTGCTTTCCAAAAAGTATTTCCTCCTTTGTTGACAGGTGATTTCCTTTATTTATAGCCAATATTTCTTGTTTTTCTTTCGGTGTAATCTTGTGCTGTTTTGTAGCAGTGTTCTAATTTAACCTAATCAAAGCTGTATTCTGTGTGCTGTGTTTTAAAGGGGACATATAGTAACAACAGACCCAACAGTATCTTTTACTTAATTTATCACTTGTAGTTTCGTCTTGTGAACTCAGTGGGCCGCTGTTGACTAGCGTCTTGGCGTTTCAAATGTGTATTTATACAGGAGGAACTCCCCTGTCCGCGCACACAAGAGAGGATGATTAGGAAGAATTTACGCAGAGTCGAAGGTGGAAGTAACACGATGCACGGAATATCACATTGGAATTATAGCGTCGTCAGTTGTTGATTAGACAGATCATTTTGCCTACTCTATTTGCCTCAGTAACGCTGATTTCGAAAGGGAAGAGAACACGTTAGATTGGTTGGACGGATGAGCCTGACGGAACAATGAGACCGCAAGTACTGTTGTTTTTCTCCGTGCTCTGTCTCAGTGCAGCGCTCGGCCAGGTCAGCTACTCCATTCCGGAGGAAATGGCCAAAGGCTCTTTGGTCGGTAACATAGTTCAGGATTTAGGTTTGGGTGTTAAACGATTACAAACGGGTAAAGCTCGAATCCACACGGGAGACAGCACAGAATATATTCATCTTAACAAGGAAAAGGGACTACTTGTCATTAAAGAGAAAATAGACCGCGAGGCTCTCTGTGGTCAGACAACGCCTTGTGCTTTGCATTTTCAGATCGCCTTAGAAAACCCAATAGAAATATTACAGATCACTGTCGAGATCACAGATATTAATGACAATGCTCCCGTTTTCGAAAAGGAAGAGAGGAGATTTGAAATAAGCGAGTCTGCTATTGTCGGCTCTAAATTCATGCTAGAGAAAGCAATAGACCCTGATATAGCACTGAACGGTCTTCAGAGCTACACACTGAAGCCCAATGATCATTTTGTGCTAAAATTACATAGTCAGTCTGATGGCGGTAAAAAGGTGGAAATGATTTTACAGAAACCCTTGGATAGAGAAAAACAAGAGTTCGCATCCTTATTGTTAACGGCTGTAGATGGAGGAGAGCCGCAGAGATCTGGCACGATGCAGATTCACATTGCTGTGTTAGATGTTAATGATAACGCTCCTGTGTTTACACAACACATTTACAAAGCAAGTGTGAAAGAAAACGCTGTGACGGGAACACTTATAACAAAAGTGAGTGCCTCAGATGTAGACAAAGACTCGAATGGGGAGGTTAGCTACGTAATAGGAAATAGCATGAGGAGCATTTCCAAATTATTTCACGTTACTGAAGATGGTCACATAATATTAAATGGGCTTATTGACTATGAAAAAGCCAAAAAATATGAAATTGACATAGAGGCAGTTGACCGAGGAGGTTTATCTGATTCAAGCAAAGTAGTTATTGATGTAGGTGACATTAATGACAATAGCCCAGTTATTAATATTATTTCATCATCAAATTCAATAGAAGAAGATTCACGTCCAAACACAGTGGTTGCTGCAATGAGTGTAAATGATCCTGATTCTGAAGAAAACGGGAAGGTCCGATGTGTAATTGATAAAAACATACCCTTTACAATTACACCTACGTCCAGTAATTTTTATAGCATTGTGACAGACAGTGAATTAGACAGAGAGAGATCCTCTGAATATAATATCACAGTGACCTGCTCAGATGAGGGAGTGCCCTCCCTCTCCAGCAGCGTCACTCTCACCTTACAGATCTCTGATGTGAATGATAACGCGCCTGTCTTTGAGAGCAGCTCATATGAGGCCTACATTGTAGAAAACAACACACCAGGCCTCTCTGTATTCACAGTGAGAGCCAGAGACGCTGACTGGAACCAGAATGCCCGTGTTTCTTACATCCTGGAGGACTCCTCTGCTAACGGAGTGCCAGTCTCCTCATATGTGTCCGTTAGTGCTGATAGTGGAGTCATCCATGCAGTGCGCTCTTTTGACTACGAGCAGATCAAAGACTTCCACTTCCGGGTCAAAGCTCAGGATGGAGGCTCTCCTCCACTGAGTAGCAATGTGACTGTGAAAATACTGATCCAGGACCAGAACGACAACCCTCCTCAGGTCCTGTACCCAGTCCAGACTGGTGGCTCTCTGGTGGCTGAGATGGTGCCTCGTTCAGCAGATGTGGGCTATCTGGTCACTAAAGTGGTGGCTGTTGATGTGGACTCTGGACAGAATGCCTGGCTCTCCTATAAACTGCAGAAAGCCACAGACAGGGCGCTGTTTGAAGTGGGCTTACAGAATGGAGAAATAAGGACTATCCGCCAGGTGACTGATAAAGATGTTGTGAAACAAAGACTGTCTGTTATAGTGGAGGACAACGGGCAGCCCTCTCGTTCAGCTGCAGTCATTGTTAACGTGGTGGTGGCTGACAGCTTCCCGGAAGTGCTGTCTGAGTTCACTGACTTTACACAGGACAAGGAGTACAATGACAACCTGACTTTTTACTTAGTGCTGGCTCTGGCTGTAGTGTCCTTCCTCTTCATCACGTGTTTAGTGGTTATTATATCAGTGAAGATCTACAGGTGGAGACAGTCTCGCATCATGTTTCACTCCAATCTCCCTGTGATTCCTTATTATCCTCCACGTTACTCAGACACTTTGGGGACAGGGACTCTCCAACACGTGTACAACTACGAGGTGTGCAGGACGACTGACTCCAGAAAGAGTGACTGTAAGTTTGGCGGAGCAGGTAGTCAGAACGTGCTGATAATGGACCCCAGTTCTACAGGGACGATGCAGCGGATACAGAGTGAAAAGAGCATCCTGGATGAACCAGACTCTCCTCTAGAGGTTAGAAATGTGTAACACTAATTACCACTCCCTTATTGTTAATACTAAATGTTCGAATTAAATATGCCAGCATTTTGACCCATTTGTTTGGAACGTTATGTTTCAGTACCTCGGACAGCACCATGGAGCATTTGTATGGAGCTATATCAGGGTCATACGTTTTGATCATTCAAAAAAATACAATTTATTTGAAATTTCAAGTTTTTATCCTGAACTTTGAAAAATATAATGATGTATTCAAACTAAAAATAAGTATTTGAATAATTGTTCAGGTTAAATATTATCTTGATTCAGTTCAGCAATTTGTTAGAATAAAATATGTATTTTCTTATTTTACTTTTACACATATTTTGATATTTGAATCCTTATTTTTTTTAGTTGCAGATTTTACGCTTTCAGATTCAAAACAATTATTTGTTTTAGTTTCAAATCTTGTTTTTTTAGGTTTCACATTTGTTTTGGCCTTCAGATGGTTTTTCACTTTCAGATCTTTTTTTTCGCTTTCAAACTTGAATTCTGATGTTGCTTGGGGGACGGGGCTTACCAAAGAGTAGTTTGTCATCCTTAGTGACAGCCCTCCCTCTGTCATGTTGCCATCATGGATGTTAGGTATAGCACGAGAAATATAACTCAATACATACATTTGAAAACAAGTTGTTTGGTGTGACAGAAAATGGTTAGTTGTCCCCATACTATGACTGTCGACATATTTTAACATGTTTTATTTACACATTTAGATTGTAGTTGAATCAATAGATTATTTAACTATGGCTACATAATATAACAATTGTATTCAAGTTATTTCCCCAGCTTTCCATCTCTCCCCTCTCACAACACATGGTGTGCAGTGTTGTTATTTGAACTCAATGGGCCGCTGTTGCCTAGTCTGTTGCAGTTGTAGTATATTTAAAGCAGTACCGCCTTTTCATGTCGATGTGTTCGAGAGAGAGGGCAGTCGCAGACCGCAGTGTCTTCCGGAGCCGCTAAACACGGCTTAGAAAACATACTTAATATTTCCACTTCAAATTTGAGGACTGGTTTTGCTTCATATTTTTTATTTGAATGCTCGTTCACCTTTCTGACGGATTTACGAGTTTGTTCTTCCTTTTTCTGAGATAATTTTAAACAATGAGACGGCAAGTACTGTTGTTTATTACGATCCTCTCTCTTGGTTCAGTCTTCGGGCAGGTCAGCTACTCTGTACCGGAGGAGATGGCGAAAGGCTCTTTGGTTGGTAATATAGCTCTGGATTTGGGTTTGGACTCTAAACGCTTGAGGTTGGGTAACGCTCGTGTTTATTCTGGTGATAGCAGAGAATACATGGAGCTGAACAGCGAGAGAGGAGTCCTCCTTATTAAAGAGAAAATAGACAGAGAGGCGTTGTGCGGTGATACGACACCATGTGCTGTGCATTTCCAAATTGTCTTAGAGAATCCTATGGAATTTTACAGTGTAACAGTTGAAATTACTGATATTAACGATAATGCACCAACCTTTGAAAAAGACGAAATCAAATTCATAATCAGTGAATCTGCAGTCGTCGGTGCAAAATTTGTTTTAGAAAGAGCAGTTGATTTGGATGTAGGTATAAATAGTCTTCAAAGCTACGTACTTAAGCCAAGCGATAATTTTCTACTCAAACTGCACAACCAAGCCGATGGTACAAAGAATGTTGAGATGGTCTTACAAAAACCTCTAGACAGAGAGAAAAATGAGTTAATTTCTTTGGCTCTGACGGCTGTAGACGGAGGAGAACCACAGATGTCAGGGACAATGCAGATTCTCATCACAGTGTTAGATGCCAATGACAATGCACCTGTTTTTACGCACCCAATTTACAAAGGCACTGTTTCTGAAAATGCTGCGAAAGGCACGATAGTGAACACGGTCAGTGCGTCAGATGCTGATCATGGATTAAATGGAAAAATAACGTATTCTATCACAAACACTTTAGATGACGTCAGACATATGTTTGATATAAATGAGGACAGCGGTGAGGTTAAGTTGATTGGACTTTTGGATTATGAAAAGAAACGAACTTTTCAAATCAATGTACGGGCAATGGATAACGGGGGGCTTAGTGATTCTTGTAAAGTGATAGTCGATGTAGTAGATATAAATGACAATGAGCCAACGATCAAAATCATGTCTAAATCTACTATTATATCAGAGAGTGCAAACCCCAAAACAGTCGTTACAATGATTAACATCCAAGACCCAGACTCAGGTGAAAATGGTAGAGTTCAGTGTTTTATAAATGAAAATATTCCTTTTGAATTGAAATCAACTTCAAATAATTTCTATAGTTTAGTGACAGATAGTGATTTAGACAGAGAGATAGCGTCTCAGTATAATATCACAGTGACCTGCTCTGATGAGGGAGTGCCCTCCCTCTCCAGCAGCGTCACTCTCACCTTACAGATCTCTGATGTGAATGATAACGCGCCTGTCTTTGAGAGCAGCTCATATGAGGCCTACATTGTAGAAAACAACACACCAGGCCTCTCTGTATTCACAGTGAGAGCCAGAGACGCTGACTGGAACCAGAATGCCCGTGTTTCTTACATCCTGGAGGACTCCTCTGTTAACGGAGTGCCAGTCTCCTCTTATGTGTCAGTTAGTGCTGATAGTGGAGTCATCCATGCAGTGCGCTCTTTTGACTACGAGCAGATCAAAGACTTCCACTTCCGGGTCAAAGCTCAGGATGGAGGCTCTCCTCCACTGAGTAACAATGTGACTGTGAAAATACTGATCCAGGACCAGAACGACAACCCTCCTCAGGTCCTGTACCCAGTCCAGACTGGTGGCTCTCTGGTGGCTGAGATGGTGCCTCGTTCAGCAGATGTGGGCTATCTGGTCACTAAAGTGGTGGCTGTTGATGTGGACTCTGGACAGAATGCGTGGCTCTCCTATAAACTGCAGAAAGCCACAGACAGGGCGCTGTTTGAAGTGGGCTTACAGAATGGAGAAATAAGGACTATCCGCCAGGTGACTGATAAAGATGCTGTGAAACAAAGACTGTCTGTTATAGTGGAGGACAACGGGCAGCCCTCTCGTTCAGCTACAGTCATTGTTAACGTGGTGGTGGCTGACAGCTTCCCGGAAGTGCTGTCTGAGTTCACTGACTTTACACAGGACAAGGAGTACAATGACAACCTGACTTTTTACTTAGTGCTGGCTCTGGCTGTAGTGTCCTTCCTCTTCATCACGTGTTTAGTGGTTATTATATCAGTGAAGATCTACAGGTGGAGACAGTCTCGCATCATGTTTCACTCCAATCTCCCTGTGATTCCTTATTATCCTCCACGTTACTCAGACACTTTGGGGACAGGGACTCTCCAACACGTGTACAACTACGAGGTGTGCAGGACGACTGACTCCAGAAAGAGTGACTGTAAGTCCGGCGGAGCCGGTAGTCAGAACGTGCTGATAATGGACCCCAGTTCTACAGGGACGATGCAGCGGATACAGAGTGAAAAGAGCATCCTGGATGAACCAGACTCTCCTCTAGAGGTTAGAAATGTGTAACACTAATTACCACTCCCTTATTGTTAATACTAAATGTTCGAATTAAATATGCCAGCATTTTGACCCATTTGTTTGGAACGTTATGTTTCAGTACCTCGGACAGCACCATGGAGCATTTGTATGGAGCTATATCAGGGTCATACGTTTTGATCATTCAAAAAAATACAATTTATTTGAAATTTCAAGTTTTTATCCTGAACTTTGAAAAATATAATGATGTATTCAAACTAAAAATAAGTATTTGATTAATTGTTCAGGTTAAATATTATCTTGATTCAGTTCAGCAATTTGTTAGAATAAAATATTTATTTTCTTATTTTACTTTTACACATATTTTGATATTTGAATCCTTATTTTTTTTAGTTGCAGATTTTACGCTTTCAGATTCAAAACAATTATTTTGTTAAGTTTCAAACCTTGTTTTTTTAGGTTTCACATTTGTTTTCGCCTTCAGATCGTTTTTCACTTTCAGATCTTTTTTTTCGCTTTCAAACTTGAATTCTGATGTTGCTTGGGGGGCGGGGCTTACCAAAGAGTAGTTTGTCATCCTTAGTGACAGCCCTCCCTCTGTCATGTTGCCTTCATGGATGTTAGGTATAGCGCGAGAAATATAACTCAATACATACATTTGAAAACAAGTTGTTTGGTGTGACAGAAAATGGTTAGTTGTCCCCATACTATGACTGTCGACATATTTGAACATGTTTTATTTACACATTTAGATTGTAGTTGAATCAATAGATTATTTAACTATGGCTACATAATATAACAACTGTATTCAAGTTATTTCCCCAGCTTTCCATCTCTCCCCTCTTACAACACATGGTGTGCAGTGTTGTTATTTGAACTCAATGGGCCGCTGTTGCCTAGTCTGTTGCAGTTGTAGTATATTTAAAGCAGTACCGCCTTTTCATGTCGATGTGTTCGAGAGAGAGGGCAGTCGCAGACCGCCGTGTCTTCCGGAGCCGTTAAACACGGCTTAGAAAAAATACTTAATATTTCCACTTCAAATTTGAGGACTGGTTTTGCTTCATATTTTTTATTTGAATGCTCGTTCACCTTTCTGACGGATTTACGAGTTTGTTCTTCCTTTTTCTGAGATAATTTTAAACAATGAGACGGCAAGTACTGTTGTTTATTACGATCCTCTCTCTTGGTTCAGTCTTCGGGCAGGTCAGCTACTCTGTACCGGAGGAGATGGCCAAAGGCTCTTTGGTTGGTAATATAGCTCTGGATTTGGGTTTGGACTCTAAACGCTTGAGGTTGGGTAACGCTCGTGTTTATTCTGGTGATAGCAGAGAATACATGGAGCTGAACAGCGAGAGAGGAGTCCTCCTTATTAAAGAGAAAATAGACAGAGAGGCGTTGTGCGGTGATACGACACCATGTGCTGTGCATTTCCAAATTGTCTTAGAGAATCCTATGGAATTTTACAGTGTAACAGTTGAAATTACTGATATTAACGATAATGCACCAACCTTTGAAAAAGACGAAATCAAATTCATAATCAGCGAATCTGCAGTCGTCGGTGCAAAATTCGATTTAGAAAGAGCAGTTGATTTGGATGTAGGTATAAATAGTCTTCAAAGCTACGTACTTAAGCCAAGCGATAATTTTCTACTCAAACTGCACAACCAAGCCGATGGTACAAAGAATGTTGAGATGGTCTTACAAAAACCTCTAGACAGAGAGAAAAATGAGTTAATTTATTTGGCTCTGACGGCTGTAGACGGAGGAGAACCACAGATGTCAGGGACAATGCAGATTATCATCACAGTGTTAGATGCCAATGACAATGCACCTGTTTTTACGCACCCAATTTACAAAGGCACTGTTTCTGAAAATGCTGCGAAAGGCACGATAGTGAACACGGTCAGTGCGTCAGATGCTGATCATGGATTAAATGGAAAAATAACATACTCAATCACAAACACTTTAGATGACGTCAGACATATGTTTGATATAAATGAGGACAGCGGTGAGGTTAAGTTGATTGGACATTTAGATTATGAAAAGAAACGAACTTTCCAGATCAATGTACGGGGAAGAGATAACGGGGGGCTTACTGATTCTTGTAAAGTGATAGTCGATGTAGTAGATATAAATGACAATGAGCCAACGATCAAAATCATGTCTAAATCTACTATTATATCAGAAAGTGCAAACCCCAAAACAGTCGTTACAATGATTAACATCCAAGACCCAGACTCAGGTGAAAATGGTAGAGTTCAGTGTTTTATAAATGAAAATATTCCTTTTGAATTTAAATCAACTTCAAATAATTTCTATAGTTTAGTGACAGATAGTGATTTAGACAGAGAGATAGCGTCTCAGTATAATATCACAGTGACCTGCTCTGATGAGGGAGTGCCCTCCCTCTCCAGCAGCGTCACTCTCACCTTACAGATCTCTGATGTGAATGATAACGCTCCTGTCTTTGAGAGCAGCTCATATGAGGCCTACATTGTAGAAAACAACACACCAGGCCTCTCTGTATTCACAGTGAGAGCCAGAGACACTGACTGGAACCAGAATGCCCGTGTTTCTTACATCCTGGAGGACTCCTCTGTTAACGGAGTGCCAGTCTCCTCATATGTGTCCGTTAGTGCTGATAGTGGAGTCATCCATGCAGTGCGCTCTTTTGACTACGAGCAGATCAAAGACTTCCACTTCCGGATCAAAGCTCAGGATGGAGGCTCTCCTCCACTGAATAGCAATGTGACTGTGAAAATACTGATCCAGGACCAGAACGACAACCCTCCTCAGGTCCTGTACCCAGTCCAGACTGGTGGCTCTCTGGTGGCTGAGATGGTGCCTCGTTCAGCAGATGTGGGCTATCTGGTCACTAAAGTGGTGGCTGTTGATGTGGACTCTGGACAGAATGCCTGGCTCTCCTATAAACTGCAGAAAGCCACAGACAGGGCGCTGTTTGAAGTGGGCTTACAGAATGGAGAAATAAGGACTATCCGCCAGGTGACTGATAAAGATGCTGTGAAACAAAGACTGTCTGTTATAGTGGAGGACAACGGGCAGCCCTCTCGTTCAGCTACAGTCATTGTTAACGTGGTGGTGGCTGACAGCTTCCCGGAAGTGCTGTCTGAGTTCACTGACTTTACACAGGACAAGGAGTACAATGACAACCTGACTTTTTACTTAGTGCTGGCTCTGGCTGTAGTGTCCTTCCTCTTCATCACGTGTTTGGTGGTTATTATATCAGTGAAGATCTACAGGTGGAGACAGTCTCGCATCATGTTTCACTCCAATCTCCCTGTGATTCCTTATTATCCTCCACGTTATTCAGACACTTTGGGGACAGGGACTCTCCAACACGTGTACAACTACGAGGTGTGCAGGACAACTGACTCCAGAAAGAGTGACTGTAAGTTCGGCGGAGCAGGTAGTCAGAACGTGCTGATAATGGACCCCAGTTCTACAGGGACGATGCAGCGGATACAGAGTGAAAAGAGCATCCTGGATGAACCTGATTCTCCTCTAGAGGTTAGAATTGGCTTGCTATCTGTTGCTTGGTTAAAGACATGCTTTTAATCATTTGTCTCTTATGTTCAGCACCTTGGAGAGCAATGTCATTGCATATTCAAAACCTTTATATAAGTTACATTCCCCGTGTTTTTTTAAATGGTTATTTACTACTTTGTAATCACTAACATTTGCATTTCAAATTTCCTGTTTAGAATATTGTATTAATTGGGTAACTGCAGTATCAAACAAAACTTTCAACTAACAGGAGAGTTAATATCTGTGTTATTGTGGCGGGGTGGTCGTTTTTAAAGGCAGAGCCACCCAAATACCAAAATGCCTGACAACGCCACCTGGGGAGTTTCGCCCGCAGGAGATATTTAATTTACACCTCAGAACTAAGAAGGCTCTTCAAGTTTGTGACTGACACAAGACAGAGACGTGGTTCAATTATAATGAAACAGTTTAACAGTTTATTTAATTATGTCAATCACATGTATTTGTTTATTCTTGGTAAAAACACTTGATATAGAAAATGACTAAAATCAATGAGGGAAAAAGGGGAGTGGGCAGATGCCAGCCGGGGGAGGCAGTCTAACAGGGCTGTGTCCCACTTACCCACCGGTGCTCACTGAAAACCAAAACTCACTGCAAACCAAAACTCACTACAAAGTGTCCCAGTGCTCCTATCACTACAAGCCGTGAAGGGAATCAGACTGTGGGCCTAGCCTCCTCCACAGCTGGCTCCAACTCCACTACAAGGGGCAAAGAAACAACAAATGAGTATAAAGCAGAATAAACAAGTATCCAGTTGGTCCAAACGAGCAAACAGTAAAATACACTAAAACCCTAAATATGAGACAACAAAACTAAATTCCAACAAAGCCTAATTCAAGTGAAACCTAAAAACAGCAGCTGCACCACCTAGTAGGAAGAACACATTGTACATTAGATTACAATACAAAAGTACACATTTACATATTTTAACTTAGGTAATTGTAAACTTACCACTACTCAGTATGATGAATACTAAAGTACTAAGGACCAACACACATCCCTCCAGGTTAACAGGACTGCAGGCATCACATTTGGCCAAAGGAACACCAGGTGGACCAGGATACAAGCTGACAGTAGGCTAACACAAATGAATGTAGTTCAGTGCTAATATAAGATGCACATGAGTAATATTAAGCTGTTGATCAAACATGACATCCAGTATCTGACAATTTACCTATCCTAAGGCGCCATGTGGCAACAGATAGACAGCAAACGAAACAAAGGCTGCCATGATGCCACAGGTGCCTTAAATACCAATGAGTTAATTAGGGGTTGGCTCTGGGGGAGGAGTTTACCTACTTTAGGTGATGGTGAGTTCAGGGCGTAGAGATGAGTGTGGGACAGTTACTTGAACCCAGTGTTCATGCTACACTATGTTTTATTCTAAATCGGTACATATCAGTTTATTATGAACATTTTACATGCACTTGTACTTTATGAACTCAGAGTGCCGCTGTTGGCTAGCCTGTATTGGATTTACCGCAGACCCAATGTACCTCCCACCATGTCTTTATTTTATAGAGAGAAAGAGGCAGAATCAAAGCACACGTCCGACTAAACGGGAGATACAGAACAGGAAATATGTACCACGTTGGAGATATGCTTTGATATTCCGCGTCGACTGAGAAAATTGGAGTGCAAACATCTTGGTTTACACTGGAATAACGTTAGGCAGAACAATGGGAGGGCAAGTACTGTTGTTTTTCTCGCTCCTCTCTCTCGGATCGGTGTTCGGACAGGTCAGCTACTCAATTCCCGAGGAAATGCCAAAAGGTTCTCTCGTGGGCAACATGGCAAAGGATTTTGGCCTGGATGTTAAGAGACTAAAATCGGGTAAAGCTCGCATTTTTACTCGAGACAGTGACGGATATATTGAGCTGAATAACGAAAGAGGAGTCCTCCTAATCAAAGAAAGGATAGACAGAGAGGCGTTGTGTGGACAGACGACGCCTTGCGCTTTGCATTTTAAGATCATATTAGAGAATCCGATGGAATTTTTAAGTGTAACTATTGAGATCACAGATATTAATGATAACCCCCCATCCTTTGAAAAGAGCGACGTGAAATTCAAAATAAGCGAATCCGCTGTTAGTGGGTCTAAATTCATATTAGATCGGGCAGTTGATTCTGATGTAGGCTCGAATGGATTGCAAACATATAAACTCGAACCGGCGGATAATTTTGTTGTTAGACTGCACGAACAAGCAGATGGGACGAAAAATGTCGAAATGGTATTAGACAAGCCTCTTGACAGAGAAAAAAAGGAACACCTCTCGTTAGTTCTGACTGCGGTGGATGGAGGAGAGCCGCAGATGACAGGAACAATGCAGATTATCATCACTGTTTTAGACGCTAATGACAATGCCCCTGTTTTTACGCAACCTATTTATAAAGCCTCTATAAAAGAAAATGCAGCAGTAGGAACAGTTGTAGTGACAGTTACTGCGACAGATTCAGATCATGGATCTAATGGAAGAATAACGTATTCAATTTCGAGTATTTTAGATCATGCCCGTGGGTTATTTGAAGTAAATGATGCAAGTGGTGAAATTCGGCTAAAAGGAAATGTTGACTATGAAAAAGCTCAAACATTTCAGATAAACATTCGCGCAAGTGATGATGGGGGACTAGTTGACTCGTGTAAAGTGATGATTGAAGTTATTGACATAAATGACAATAAACCCGATATCCATATATTGTCAAAATCAAACGTGATATCAGAAGATGCCGTAGCCAGTACTGTTGTGACAATGATAAATATTGAGGACACAGATTCGGGTGAAAATGGCAAAGTACACTGCAGTATAAATAATGATATTCCTTTTGTAATGAAGTCTTCAACCAATGATTTCTACACTTTAGTTACAGATAGTGATCTGGATAGGGAGACAGCCTCTGAGTATAATATAACAGTGACCTGCTCTGATGAGGGTGTGCCCTCCCTCTCCAGCAGCGTCACTCTCACCTTACAGATCTCTGATGTGAATGATAACGCTCCTGTCTTTGAGAGCAGCTCATATGAGGCCTACATTGTAGAAAACAACACACCAGGCCTCTCTGTATTTACAGTGAGAGCCAGAGACGCTGACTGGAACCAGAATGCCCGTGTTTCTTACATCCTGGAGGACTCCTCTGCTAACGGAGTGCCAGTCTCCTCATATGTGTCCGTTAGTGCTGATAGTGGAGTCATCCATGCAGTGCGCTCTTTTGACTACGAGCAGATCAAAGACTTCCACTTCCGGGTCAAAGCTCAGGATGGAGGCTCTCCTCCACTCAGTAGCAACGTGACTGTGAAAATACTGATCCAGGACCAGAACGACAACCCTCCTCAGGTCCTGTACCCAGTCCAGACTGGTGGCTCTCTGGTGGCTGAGATGGTGCCTCGTTCAGCAGATGTGGGCTATCTGGTCACTAAAGTGGTGGCTGTTGATGTGGACTCTGGACAGAATGCCTGGCTCTCCTATAAACTGCAGAAAGCCACAGACAGGGCGCTGTTTGAAGTGGGCTTACAGAATGGAGAAATAAGGACTATCCGCCAGGTGACTGATAAAGATGTTGTGAAACAAAGACTGTCTGTTATAGTGGAGGACAACGGGCAGCCCTCTCGTTCAGCTACAGTCATTGTTAACGTGGTGGTGGCTGACAGCTTCCCGGAAGTGCTGTCTGAGTTCACTGACTTTACACAGGACAAGGAGTACAATGACAACCTGACTTTTTACTTAGTGCTGGCTCTGGCTGTAGTGTCCTTCCTCTTCATCACGTGTTTAGTGGTTATTATATCAGTGAAGATCTACAGGTGGAGACAGTCTTGCATCATGTGTCACTCCAATCTCCCTGTGATTCCATATTATCCTCCACGTTACTCAGACACTTTGGGGACAGGGACTCTCCAACACGTGTACAACTACGAGGTGTGCAGGACGACTGACTCCAGAAAGAGTGACTGTAAGTCCGGCGGAGCCGGTAGTCAGAACGTGCTTATAATGGACCCCAGTTCTACTGGGACGATGCAGCGGATGCAGAGTGAAAAGAGCATCCTGGATGAACCTGACTCTCCTCTAGAGGTTAGAAAATGCGAGTAATTGGTTCCTTCGTTGATGCCATGCTTTAAATCACTCTCATCTTATTTTCAGCACTTTGGAAAGCAATGTGATTTAATGTGTTTTTTCTTACGTTTCCCGTGTCCGTTTAAATGGCTATTACATTCATACAATCAAATGGCCAGTGCCATGGACAGAGAAATAATTCTCATGATAATATATGTTCTTTATGCTTTCTGTATTTCTGTTTATACAAGTAAAAGGATAGTCATACTTATCATGCAGCTTTTTCTGTAGTTTCTTTTCACGTCCCTAAGTGCCGCTGTTGGTTAGTGTGAGAACATTGAGGCTATTTTCCTCATTGAAGTCCTTCCTTGTTCTTGCAGCTCTATTTCAATCGGACGGAGAAAACCACTCGGCCACATGAGCTCATTCAAATATATTTCAGCCGGATTTCTACGCGGTTGTTTGTTTTTAATATTCGGATTTTGGAAAGGCTCTCCTCAAGATGGAAGTTATTTGTTGTGTGGGCGGAAAAAATACGTTTTCTTGGTGGCCACTGCTTCTCTGCATTTGTGTCGCAGAAATTGCTCTCGGGCAGGTCCGTTATTCTTTACCTGAAGAAATGGCGACGGGCTCTGTGGTCGGGAATATCATTCAGGACCTAGGCTTGGATATTAAACGGCTTAAATCCGGGCGGGCTCGGATATTTACCGAGGATGGCAGTGAGTACATTGGTCTGAATGCAGATAAGGGAACTCTGGTAGTGGCTAAAAGGATAGACAGAGAAGAATTGTGCAAGCAAGTTTCTCCCTGCTCTCTTCATTTCCAAATCATCTTTGAAAATCCAATGGAGTTGCATAGGATTGATGTAGAGATTACAGATATTAATGATAATGCTCCGTTCTTTTCGAAAAAGGAATACGATTTCCAGGTTATTGAATCCGCCTCGCCAGGGGCTCGCTATTCACTTGAGAGTGCAAAAGATCCCGATGTAGCCCATAACACTCTTCAAACATACAAACTCAACCCTACAGATCATTTCAAATTGAATGTTGTTTCTCGTCCTGACGGGACAAAATATATTGAAATGGTTCTTCACACGTCGCTTGACAGAGAAAAACAAGAAGAGCACCAATTAACGTTGACAGCATTTGACGGTGGTAATCCTCAGAAATCGGGATCTGTCAAAATTAATGTCGTTGTTTTGGATGCTAATGACAATGCACCAGTATTCACACAGTCTGTTTACAGAGTTACAGTTCCTGAAAACGCTTCTAGGGGCACTGTTATGTTAAGAGTCAGTGCCACTGATAACGATAAAGGAGCAAACAATGAAGTGGCGTATTCGTTCTCCAAGCATACCGATAGTGCATCATCCCTGTTTAATATTGACCCCCATATCGGAGAAATTACTGTAAATGGTGTGTTAGATTATGAAGAAGCTAAACGTTATGAAATTGATATTGAAGCTACAGACAAGGGAGGGTTGACAGACACAAGCAAGGTGCTAATTGAGGTGACCGACCTAAATGATAATGCCCCTGTCATAAGCATCATTTCCCTTTCCAATCCCATACCAGAGGATTCAGCTCCAGATACTGTTATCGCAATGCTAAATATCAAAGACTTTGACTCAGACAAAAATGGCCAAATAAAGTGTTTTATTAGCAAAGATTTACCTTTCAAAATCAAGTCTTCATCGGCTAATTTTTATAGCCTGATGTCTGACGATGTTTTAGATCGTGAAGCTGTGCCGGAATATAACATAACAATTACAGCAATGGATGAGGGCTCACCGCCTTTTTCTACAAACAAGACCATTAATTTAAAAATATCAGACGTTAATGACAACCCCCCAATGTTCACAAAATTATTAAGCACCGCTTTCATCACTGAAAATAATTCACCTGGCATGTCAATCCACTCTATCAAAGCCAGTGACAAAGACTCAGGGAACAATGCCCGCATTTCCTACTTCCTCGAGGAACGCCAATTGAATGGGTTGTCGGCCTCCGCTTATTTTTCAGTGAATGCAGAGAGTGGCGAGATACTTGCCGTGCGTTCCTTCGACTATGAGCAGACCAAAGAGTTTAATATTTGCATCAAAGCACAGGATGGAGGCTCTCCTCCACTTAGTAGTAACGTGACTGTGAAAATACTGATCCAGGACCAGAACGACAACCCTCCTCAGGTCCTGTACCCAGTCCAGACTGGTGGCTCTCTGGTGGCTGAGATGGTGCCTCGTGCCACAGATGTGGGCTATCTGGTCACTAAAGTGGTGGCTGTTGATGTGGACTCTGGACAGAATGCCTGGCTCTCCTATAAACTGCAGAAAGCCACAGACAGGGCGCTGTTTGAAGTGGGCTTACAGAATGGAGAAATAAGGACTATCCGCCAGGTGACTGATAAAGATGCTGTGAAACAAAGACTGACTGTTATAGTGGAGGACAACGGGCAGCCCTCTCGTTCAGCTACAGTCATTGTTAACGTGGTGGTGGCTGACAGCTTCCCGGAAGTGCTGTCTGAGTTCACTGACTTTACACAGGACAAGGAGTACAATGACAACCTGACTTTTTACTTAGTGCTGGCTCTGGCTGTAGTGTCCTTCCTCTTCATCACGTGTTTAGTGGTTATTATATCAGTGAAGATCTACAGGTGGAGACGCGAGCAAGTGTTTTACAAATCTAGTGGGAATCTTCCCGTTATTCCGTATTACCCGCCCCTTTACGCAGACGTAGGAGGTACCGGTACGTTGAAGCAGGCACTGAGTTACGAGGTGTATGGAACTACTGACTCCCGGATGAGTGACATGAAGTGCTCCCGACCCTTCAGTCAGAGCACTCTGACTGTTGACCATAGTGCTACCAGGACAGTGCCAAGGCAGGTACCTGAGTCAGAGAATATGCTCACAGAGGTGAGATCAAGCCCTTCCTTGTTTCTTTTGAACCCTTGATCCTTGTGATTTGTGTTTGTTTTATATCTTTCCTATTGCTTGTATTGGTATTTCAGTTCAGTTTTGCCACTACACTACTTGGTACTGTACCCACTTTTAGTACGCCCTGAAAGCTTTGCTTTGCATATACCAATGTATATTCAACAACTTTAATATTTATGTATCTCGCAACTGATCTTGTGGCTGGATTGGACATGCTCTTGATATAAAATAGTGTCAGGAATAGTGTGAATATTGATATTTGATACTATATTGAACATTGGTTTATCTATCTTTGTTGTGTCAAGTATAAACATTGGAGAGTTTATACTTCCTCATTTTAGGCCCTTAAACTTCTATATTGACCAAATGATGCCCCCAATGAAAAAAATACTCAATAAAACAACTAATATTTGTTGGATATGCTTAACCCATTTGTGGGTATACAAATACTCAATGGACATATACTCAAACACTGTTGTTGACATTGCTTTATTTAGAGGCTTAACCTGTGCTATTGTTTTAAGGTACACTGTGTCAGATACTTTGTTAGTTGTGTTTCACAATTACACTATATCATCCATGAAGTATTTTTTGTGGCATTTCTCACATTAATCCCATTCATTCTTATTCCTATTGATTCATAAAACATATAGTTATAGCAATTAGCTGCAACATCTGGCACTGAAGCCTGATTTTATTTGCAAATAATTCAGTTACCTATTTAGATATTCTTTGACTGCCTTTTTACTTAATGCATGTGTGAGAGAACCAACCAGGTCCGGGTTGGAGAGAACGTTATAGAAGATACAATCAAAGGAGATGCTTGGCTTCATCACTGTTAAAGGATTGCTTCATATTGCTTCTGCTTCTGCTAACACACAACCACCCAGTGCACTACTTTTTCAGTGACCTAGTTTCCCCAATAACAGTGTTTAGCCATGAGCATAAGACTACACAGAGAAAAGTGTCTGGAATAGATGCAAGCACACACAAATAAAGCAAGAATAATACAAATTAATGTTAAATAAATGAAATAAGTGAAACAATAATATTGATTGAATAATATTTACAACGTTTAAACTGTGGTATAAGGGAGGAGGAAATGGTCACTAATGGTGCTGGGCAGATTGAGAAAAGCAGTGTGATGGAGAGGAAGAGAGAGGCAGCGGGGGAGGGGAAGAGGCACGTGGTAACCGGCACAGTCTCAAACATCACTGTGCAGCATTTGTGTTAGTGATGTACGGCAGCCATTTTGATCTGCAGCCCTCTTTGTCTAATGGGATACAGGGTTCAGGAAAGCATTAGGTGTAAAATAGCTACATATACTGACTGCCTGTAAAAGACACAGACGGTTTGAGATATTTCTTCAAAATATAGAGGAATAATTAGTCGAGAGAGAGAGAGAGATGGACAGGAAGACAAAAAGGAAGAGAGATCTACATTATATAACAAGTGACAGGGGGATGTTAGAAAATAGAAAAAGAGGCTGGATGTGTCTGAAAAGAAGCACATAATGGTGAAGGAAAAATGACATCATTTATTCAAAATATATCTGTCCACAAAATCAGCTTCATACAGATTGATATGCAGAGTTACACTGCAGTAGGAAGCTAGTTTTCTGTTCACAGTGTGAGTCTCCACATGGGACAGTTTACATTATAGGCTGAAAACCAAAGATGTGTGTTGTAAAAACGGACAGTGTTGTGGAGTGGTCCACATATCCCTGCAGTTGGTTGTTATTATAATGAATCCTGTGTGGAAACAATGTATATTATCTTGTACATTTAGTGCAAATGGCATTTTTTACTTCAACCCTTTTTTTTCACTTAGAAAATAGATCTTGTATTTCGGGAAACAGGCACTTAAAGCATCATTTGAAGATCCAGCTTGATGCATGAACATTGAATAAATGCATGTATGATGTGGATAATCTGTTTTGTCCAGTATCAGAGGAAGCACCACATTAACTAATGTGCCTTATATGTTTCCTCTGGGTTGTATATGTGGTTTTGCAGTTAAGTCTGCATGTTGTTCAGGTTGTGTGTGTGTGGAAATATAAGTTGACATACTACAAGGAAGGAGCAGGTTAATTATGTGAACCACCATACCCACTGGAAGCAGTTTGCCATCATTATCAGACCACATCTGTGTCTGCTTTACCTGTGCTCAAACAGTGTTTGCACCATTTTGTTTCCTCAGGTTTGTTAATTGATGGTTTTTACTGAGTACCATACATTCCTTTGGCCAGTGTCACCATAGGGTTCAAAGCAAAAGGTAACATATTTATGAGCTAAATGGTTCAGCCTGTTTATCCACTGTACTCCTTTAGCATATTGTTGTTTTATTTTTCTCTTGTTTGTGAAAACGACCTTAGAGCTGTTATCATTTAATCAGCTGGCTGAACTTGTTTCTTACCACAAAACCATAATAACATGCAAACGCTGCTGGTTCCCACAGGACCAGGCTCTCGTTTGAGGGTCCCACGTTCCCAGCTAGGTTGTCTGGTGAGCAGCTGTGTGCCCATGTGTATGCCGGAAGGGCTCATCCACACACTGTGCACCACGTGTGTCAGGGGATGTGGTTAATGTGTGTACTTAAACAACTCATTGTGTTTATGTTTGCATGATATCCTAGATATCTGTTTAACTTTATTCAAACAAAACAAACTACACCTTTATATACTGAGTGTGGTATCAACAGAAAAAATGAAATATACATAAATAGCTCAAGTGCATAATGCTCTCTCCATGTGATGAGTGTTGTTGCCTGTCCCTCTGGAACTGTTGTTTTGTTGAGTTATGCGAAAGGACACATTTAAACTCAAACAGAATAGGGCCAAGCAGTTAGAGAGCACAGTGAAAGGACAATGTCTTTCACTGCGTAAGGGAGGCAGGTAAAACAGTACTACCAAAAGTAAAATACACCTTTACAGGCATTATTAGTAAAGAACATATATTGTAGGTAACAGTCATTAATACATATCTTTGTCAACCATGTACAAATGGCAAAAGTATTGATATCAGTTTGACTGTGTTTCTCTAGGCATTCAATGATGGCAGGACAAAACCTAATTTGTGCACAGTGTATCTACAAGGAAGCTGAAGTGAATACAAGCAAGTGCATGTACACTATAAAACCTGTCTTTGCATGAGGGCAGGTATATTGAACACTCATTAGATGTTATGTTTGGATGTGTGTTGATGTCACAGAGGTTAAAGTGTGGAGTTCTGCACTGACAGGGATTACAATAGGGATTCACTGTGTAATATGGGGCAGTGACAAAGTTATGTCAAACTCAGAAAGACTATATTTCCTTTACTTAGATATTGCATATTCCCAAATATATAGAGCCTGATTGTAAATGTGTGTTTTATCCTCCTAATCCAACACACAGAGACACTTTGTGCTTTGGACGTAGGACAGAGCATTCCACCACAACATGCACATTATAATTCTTATGATTTAGTCAATGATATTCCACTTGGTTGTTATGGAGTATTTGAACGTTCACATTATATTACATTCTGATTGACAATTCAGAAAAACAATTGCAAAATAGTTGGTTTTGTTTACTGTCATCTACTCAAACATTTCAGTTAACATTTTATCAATTTGAAGCTGAAACTTGATTGCAACTGCTCAGCAGCCATCCTTGGTTTCCAACAGTCTTTCTTTTCCTCTTGATCTCATTTTCTGCATCCTTCCCCTCCCCCTCTCCAGCTGCACCACTCTGCTGCAGAGAGAGAAAGAGACAGAGAAAGGGAGAGGTAGATTGCTAAATGTAGGACATTTTGTTCGGTCTATAAAAAGGAATTCTACACCAGAGACAGAGTC